TCCTGCTCCTCCTTCCCATCCGCCTCCTCCTCCTCCTCCACAATGACACAATATAAATGCTATCATCCTCTCTCCCCTGATGACGTCCGGAAGATGTTCGCCCCCCCCTTCGCGTACTGTTTTTACACACACACACACACACACACACACAAGATTCCTGCGAGTTGGGTTTTCGCTCGGGTTTTGTTTCAAGATGTTGCTCCCGCTGAAGCGATGGCCTCATTTTCGGGCCTCCGCTCGTTCCGAATCGTGCTCCCGCTGCAGCGATGGCCTCATTTCGGCGCTTCCGCTCGTTCGGAATCTTGCTCCCGCTGCAGCGCTGGCCTCATTTCCGCGCTTCCGCTCGTTCCGAATCGTGCTCCCGCTGCAACGCTGGCGTCATTATTTCCAGTGCCATGCCACGGGATGCAATGCAATGCTGTGTGGTGTTCCGCTGTGCGATGCCATGCCTTCAGCTGCAATGGTAGGATATGTAGTGCTTTACTACGCAGTGCCACGGCATGCTATGCCATGCTACGCTTTGATATTCAACGCAATGCTATGCCATGTTCTGTTCTGTGCCGCTGTGCGATGCCATTATTTGCGTTGCATTGCTTTGTGATGCAACTTCACTACGCAACTCGGCCATGTTGTGACATACTACGCTCTGCCGTGCTCTTCTACGCCCTGCTATGCCGTGCTCTACGATGCATCGCGCACACTCTCGGGATCATTGCACTGCTCGACATCCGACTGTACGAATAGAGAGGAGATGTACGCCATGGTAAGGGATGGGAGGGAGGGATAGGACGTCAGATACGACGCGAGCGCACCTAGCTTGTCCCCCCCCTCCCCTCTCACCCCCCCTCCTCCTGGAGGGCGCCTTCGCCGGGCACCGATCCCGGGTCGGCCACGCCCCTGGCGCGCTTGTGGGGCGGCTGCCCCTCGCGAGCAGTCAGCGGCGGCGGCGCGGCCGAGAGCTCCGCGAAGCGCTCCTGGGCTGAGGGGCGAGCGGGGAAGAGAGGGGGGAGGACGGATGGGGGGTGGGGGATCAAATGGCTTAATGCGAAGCGACCATCGAATCGCGGGCGACACGGCCAGTCGGATGAGGAGGAGGAGGAGGAGGAGGAGGAGGAGGAGGAGGAGGGGGGGGAGGGGGAGCGGGGCGCGCGGGGGGGTCCTCGCGCCGGAGCCGCCCACGACGATGGGCGGTGGGGGGGCGGCGACGGCGGCGCGCGGTCGCGCGCGAGCGCGCGCTGCACCGCTCGGAAGGTCTCCCTCGCCCTGGTGCGACGGGTTCCAGACCAAGGCCGCACCGCGTCCATGCTCGTGATACAGAGAGCTCTGCGGAAACGCATCCAAATGTCCGCATTCTTGACACGCCCAGTCCAGGCTCCAGGGGGCCTCCGAGCCCAACCCTGTCCCCAGCCATTGAGGAGGGACTCACGGTCGGTCGCAAAAATGAAGGTCCCCGAGCTTTTGCCGACAGCAACGCAAAAGGCCGTGATCTCGGAGCGCGGCGCAGTCTGCCGCCTGCCCTCCAAGGGGCCGAAGATGCCAGAGCGTCAGTACCACAAGCCTTGGCCGTCGGAAATGAGCGCCGCAGCAGACCATCCACACCGACGCCTCTTGCGGTCATCCGAGAAGGCTCCGGAGCCGCCCCCAAACAAAACGAAGCGACCACCAGTGGGGTCTCTGCAGGCCTCCCTCGAGGGCCATCCGAGGGCATCGGGACCCACCACCCCCACCGCCCGCCCCCGCCCCACGGCTCAAAGGAAGGAGCGGATGAGGAAAGGCTAGGCACTCCGCGAAGCCATAGATAGGTATCCCATTCGAGTCCGGCAAGAGCCCGCGGCAACGGGCGGGCACTGCCCTCGAACGCAGGCCCCTCACCAGCAGAGCACATCCGCATCCCGAGTAGCAGGTCATCAGCGTGCCCAGACTTACAACCATCGCACCTACGGTCCACTTGGTATCCACTACCGTGCAGGCCCTGTCTGGCCCAATGACCGCCTGGGGCCATAACTGTTCAGAGCCCACGACGATGGTTCCCTCGCGCAACACATCGCTGCTGGCCGCGTCGGACTGAGACGAGGCCCGCGCCAGCAGCGAGAGAGGCGCCGTCCTCGGCAGCAGCCGCTGCCCAGAGGCTTTCTGGAGGTCGTCGCCAAAGTCGCCCCCGTGAATGGCTCATCATCGAGGTCGGCCAGCGCAGCTCCATCAAGTGGGGGCCCCCGTTCCTCCTCTGCCACTCTTGGCCGGCAGGTCGCCTCCTCGGGGCCCCAGCGGACCTCCAGCGGCGCGGCAGTGGCGGCACCAGCTGGCCCAGTGACGCGCGACCAAATCCGGGGGCCAGCCTTGAGCGGCTTCACCTTGAGCCGCGCGTCCAAGCGAGGCCCCGTGCGCCTGTGCAGGCGGCCACTGTCCAGCCAAAATAAAATCCGTCATCGGAAAAGCTGCTGCCGCATCGGAACGCCAGGATCCGCTCCATCGGAGGTCATGCCCAGCAAGGTGGCGAGGC